GACCACCAAGCAGCCGCAGCAGCAACAAACCACCAAGCAGCTGCAGCAAACCACCAAGCATCTGCAGTCTACCACCAAGCAGCTGCAGAAAACCACAAAGGAGCAGCAGCAAACCACCAAGCAGCAGAAGCAGCACCAGCAGCAGCAGCAGCAGCTGACCACCCAGCAGCAGCAGCAGCAGACCACCAAGCAGCAGCAGACCACCAAGCAGCAGCAAACCACCAGGCAACAACAGAGCACCAAGCAGCAACGAACCAGCAAGCAACTGCAGCAGACCACCAAGCAGCCTGCACCAAGCAACAGGAGACCACCCAGCAGCAGCAGCAGCAGGAGCAGCAACAGCAGCAGCAGCAGCAGACCACGCAGCAGCTGGAGCAGAACACCAAGCAGCTGCACCACACCACCACCCAGCAGCAGCATACCACCCAGCAGCAGCAGCAGCAGCAGCAGACCAGCCAGCAGCAGCATCAGCAGACCACCAAGCAGCAGCAAACCACCAGGCAACAACCAAGCAGCAGCAGACCAGCAAGCAACTGCAGCAGACCACCAAGCAGCCTGCACCAAGCAACATCCAGTTCGGGTGTGCAATGCGGCGAGCACGTGAGGCCATAATGTTGGAAATGCTGGGCCAAAATTGGTACGAAAAAGTGCAGGCGGCATTTCTTGCATCATAGCCTTACCCCTCGTACACCACTAGTTCCCATGTGTGGAGTCAGGTAGCGTCATTTGGCTCTTGTGCACTCGGACTATCGGCACTCAAAGGTTGACAAAACTGCTTTACAGCGCACGTGGAGTCCAAGTGTTCCCACAGTGCATAGCCGGAGGGAATGAACCCGGGGGGGGAGGCGCAGCCAAGGCGGCAGCAGACCACCCAGCAGCAGAAGGAGCAAATCCAGCAGCAGCAGCAGCAGCAGCAGCAGCACAGCAGCAACCCCAGCAGCAGCAGCAGGGGGGGGTCCATAAGATTGATTTAATCAATTATTTGAGGTTTCTGAGGCGCGTCCACCCCATCATTTAACTTGCTAAAGCAAGAGCAACTTCAGCTAGCTAAGGCTAGCTTTCGTGATCTTTCTAAGAAGGGGCTCCAGGTAAGCACATTTAAGACCCTCTGCAGCTTGTGACTGTTGGGGGTCATAGTCCCCTCGCAATCAAAGTCTGGTCTCCCTCAGGATGAGGAGCTCTATCCAAATAGATTGTAGTTATATAATGATGTGAAGGTTTATATCTCTAAAGAACAAATCTCGTAACTGTAGAATATGATACATCAACACATGCTCTTGCCAAAACAAAGCCGGCCCATGTCTGCTGATCCTTCGCCACTTCTCCCGGTCGAACGTCGGAACCGCCCGCCGGAAACCGGACGCCCAGGCACGGTCCAGCTATAGCCTCGATCAAGAGAGGAAAAGAGATCAGGTACACTGAAGGTCATCAAACAATGAAAGATGGCAAAGGCATGTGTTTAGGCCCGTGGCCATCTGGAGGAATGTGGTCTTCCATTTTAGGGATGTGTGGTTACACTCCAGAAAGTCACAACAAAAACAGTAGAGTTCGTGAGTCGACTTGTCTATTAGACCCAATACTTGTCTTAAAGCGGCTTACAGCACATCCTCCAATCATTGAGCATCCAAACATGGCTCATCCTTCTGAAGGAAGCACTGGAAAAATCGAATCGATTTGAAGACCCTCGCATGCCATAGGACCTAGGGCTTCGGAAGGCATAGCCCATTCCGCCACAAGGCTGACAGCTGAAGCCTTGCAAATCAACTTGCCCAGATCGATCCCCTCAGTCTACTGAGGGATTTCACCTGATTTGTGGTATTGTCTCCAACTGCCCTTAGAAGTGGGCCACCGCCGGTGTGCGACCAGCCAAATCGTCGTCCTTCCGGCGCCCCCGTCAGCCACCGACCGGAGGGAACTAAGGCGGGAACCAGGCCCAAACGAACTGCTGTTCCAAAGCTGAACAGCTGTTCCAATCAAGTTGGCTTGCCAGGAGTCACAAGATGGGGTGCCGAACTTGGAGGATAGGGGTTTTTCAATACATCCACTCACTGGATGGGACTCAAAACCCACCCCCACTCCATGTGACCTTTGGTGGAAGCCTTCCATGTTTTCTGTTTTTTCCGGAGGACACGAGAAGATCTCCTTGGCGTAGCTCTCCAACGACCGAACACCTTTTTCATCATAGGAGATCGCCACCTCGGGCGACGGAGACCAGACGGAGACGGAGACCGGTTGCCAACCCGAAAAAGCAGGAACGGTGGAGCAACCATATAGGTCTATACTTAATTGATTGCCTTTAAACATGATGAAACAAAAATATCAGGAAACAAAAACAGACAAAAATCATTGAGTTTCATGATGTGGGATGTTTTTTCAGCAGGTCCTCATCTTCAGCCAGTCCGCAAGCCTCTTCAGCCAGTCGACTGGCTCCCAACCAACGCACCAACGGCAGGTCGAACATCATTTGAGGGGCTCGTCGTAGAAACCAGTGACTACGGACATACCATGACATACCCATGCACGCGATACCAATGGATAACACAGATATAACACCAAGATCGTCGTAACATATCCGCAACAGAATATGGTATATCACAAAAAATAAAAATAAAGAGACATGTGTCACTGACATTGCACATCGAAAGGTATCGCTTGATGGCTCCAAGAAGCCATTGTTTTAACCCTTAAGCATCATTGGACCCGACCACTTCCAGAGGGTTCGTGAACCCCCAAAGTCAGGTCGACCAAACACATGTTTCATGGTGTCTTTGAAGGCCACGGCTACAAAAAATCACCATCTTTGCCAGGTGCCAAAGAAAGATCCTGGACTCAACTTCCACTGCTTTTGGTGCCCTCGCATCCATCCATCTCTTGCGGACCCGGCCGAGGCTCCATCCGTGCCAGCTGTGATTCGAGTGGTAAGCCTGGGACCGAGACGGCGACGAGACAGACGAACCCATCGGGTGGAGCGAAGAGGAGCCGGGTGAGGCGAGGGCGAGGATCGAGCGAAGACGGCGGATCCTGAGAGAGTAAGGACGCAGAAGAGCCAGCTGTTCATGAACTGAGACGAATTCGGCTGTGTGAGAACCAAGCGCTCAGAACCCTTACCTCCGGCCTGAGTTACTGGTTTCCCCCAAAAAAAGGGGTGCTGAGAGCTGAGACAAAAAAGAAATCAAACCAGTCAGACCACTCAAGAATTCCTCCTACCAGGGTGAACCGGTCATCAGATTTTGACCTCCAGAACCGGTCACCTCCATCCGAGCGGCCGTTGCAGGGACAATCGTGGTCCCCATCGGCCCCGGAAGCCAGGACGGAGGTGCCTCAGGCGCGTGTCGCTCATTCGGTGAGCTCGCCCGTCTGGGACGCCAACAAGGTCAAATGCCAACAACCAAAATATTCTATAGATCTTATAGTCAAATGGTCTTGACTCGGTCTTGACCAAAAAAAACATTGTTTTACTTATAGATTTTACATGATTTTACACTACAAAGCCATGCAGGTCGACCATTTTTTAGACGGTCTTTCATTGCGGAAGCCCAACAGGAGTGCTGAACTTCTCTTGCTCGAACTCCAAAGAACCAAAGAAAGCTGATGGTGAATCTACTCTGCTCTGGCAGCATTCTCCATCTTCGACCAGTAACTCCCGTGATCAACGTCTGTCAAATCAGCAGCAGACCTTAGTCCTGCTGGTCCACGCAAACCGATCCCAGCATGGATCGACTCACACTCTGCTGTGTGCCACGAAATACGGCCGTGTGGAAAACATCGCCGTCCATCACAAAATTCATCACAAAAGAAAAAATTAAAAGGGACCTCTGTCCCACGGTTCTTGGTCATCTGCGGTTGCATCTGCAGTTCTTGGATTTATGCGTACTTTTGTCAGGACTTATAGCTAGTTAGCTAGCTAGCTCACCGAAGAAAGTCCACCAAAAACGGTCAGGACTCCGGTCTGAAAACATCTGAACAGGGTCTAAGTCGATCTCCACCCACATCTACCCGACACTCACGGGTGGAGACACACCCGTCCCGAGTCCCTTCCGCGGGCGCCTCGACCCGAAGTGTTTCGCACGGCCAGCGTGGTCACCGCCAGGGAAAGGGCCAAGCATGGGAAGCGCATGGTGGATTCAGCAAACAAGAGATTCCGGCAGGCCAAAGGAGAAAGGAACAGGACTTTGTGGGCATTCAGCCAATGAAAGGTCTGATCTAAATGACTTGATGGGGATCTTCTTTTGCTTAGCAACATCGGAATCTGAGCCTAGCTGGCTTCGACACGCTTCCGCGATGGATCGGCCGCCGGAGACGGATCGAACCACGCTCCATCGGGAACCCGCGAGGCGACCGTCGTTCGACCCGGTGTGTTCGGGCGGGCGGTCAGCAAGCGGTCGGTTTAAAGAGCCAAAGAAGGAGCCGATTGGCCGGGTTATTTTTTGGAAGATGCTTCTTTGCTGCCCAACACCAAACGCACACGTGTTCGTCCTTGTTCTTCACTGCTGACGAGTATCCTGGCTTATGAAATATAGGATGCGGTTTGAAGAAACATGCAGAGAGAGATGTCCAAACTCTCCCCACATCGACATGAGTTTGTGCTCATTCGCATTCCCCAAGCTTGGATTCACGGCAATCCTCTGGCAGCAACGAGCAAACTCGTACATGGATGTACATGGGGTGTGTATCAGAAGTGCTCCCAAGACTTGGGACTTCATCAATCTTTGTCCCTTAGTGTAAGCTTTTCCTATTCACCCTGTTGGAACAGGTTGGAACATTAAGAAAGCTGAACCCCTAGAAGTCCAAAGACTATTAAATTCATAGGCTTTACCGAACCAACTAAGGATGTTACACTACAAAAGCCAGTTCAACCACTTTTTAAATGGTCTTGGAAGTCTAGGGGAACCTAAACATTGGAGCCCAAACATCCTATGGTCCGAGCCAAATCCGATCTTTTGCAATCCAGTCTCCCGGCATCGTCTTCTCCACGCCGCCCTTCTACCTTCGCCACCCGCCTCTCCATTTGCGCGGTGCCAAATGCGCATAGGCCTGGGGATTGGATGCTCTGTGAATTGGTCTGCAGGGGGATCAAGGGATGCCATATTGTTTAAGTTGACTCACTGACCAATATATACTTTTCACAACACCCGGCAGCCAAAACGAAACGAAACGACCAATCAATCTCTCTTTGGTCCGATGCCGCCTTCGCCTGTCGCGCTGACAAACCTAACCCTCGCGCCCCGCTCCGGCGCGGCGCGGCGTAAGCGTCCGGACTGTTCCCACTCCTCCGCCGCGAAGTCGGAGGCGAACGTGAAGCAAGGCCTCTGAACGTCCACGCGATGCCGGCCCGATCGCCTGCCATGAAGGCCACATGAAACGATGTTCGACCTGGTTTCTTTTCGAGCTGCTCAAGCTGCAAAAATATGAGGCCTGGCAGTGAAAACCCATGATACACCATCAAAACCACCATGGGTGGCGAGCGGCCACCGGCTACTCCCAGGGCCGGGCCTCGGTTGTCGTCTGTCCCTCTCCAGGGGGTCCGGTAAGACTCTGTGTGTCAGCCGCAACTCCCAACCATCCAAGCAACATGGCGCGGATCGCACGGAGCCCAGAAATCAACAAAAACCCATCAAAAATGGGATCAGAAGACTCATAGGCTGAATTCCGTCACGTTCATAGGCTTCCTGGCCCGGAATTTCATGGGCTGACGACCGAACCCGAAGCAACGAAGGAGTGTACACTACAAACACCGTTCTCAGTTTTTGTTGGGTCAGACGGACTGAGGAAAAGGAGCTTCAACCCAGTCCCAGTCCGGCCTCCCTTAGCGGCTGGATCCGGCCCCCGGATCGAAGGTGAGCGACGAAGACCGTCGGTCGCCGCGTCGACTACGGCGCCTGAGGTTCCGCACTTCAAGGGCCCCGTGTAATGGATGGAGCGAATCTGCCCATCGCGCGGTCGGCCCACACCCACACCGGACCGAAGGCCCGCGTGGAACACCAACACCGCTCCGCGTGTTTCGGTGGACGGTGGTTTTCGGGCGCCAACGGACTCTGGGGACTTGGCTGAAGGCGATGCGAGGCATATATAACATGCAAAAGAAACATCTATAGGTAAGGTCGGGTGAGTTAGGACTTTGTGTATCCGGATTAGGAGTTGTCGCTGGTTAGTAGTATACATCATCTAGCAGGTATACTTCATACGGCAGGACCAGTGCAAGTGTCGACTATTCATCAATTCAATTGGGATTGGCGTGCAAAACAGGAGTTTCCAATTTCACTAGCCCTGGACTTCTTTAAGATAGAAACACTCATTCCAATGGGGTCCTCATCTTCGGGTCCGGGTTACTGATCAGTTTTAATTTATTGGTTGTGGATGGGGTATATTATATATCTTCGAATAAACTCTGCGAGTACAGAACCTGGTCCATCATCAACACACAAAACCAAAATGCAATAGATTCTTGCATTGACCGTGAGAATTTGGTGGCTGGATTCTTCCCATATCTGGTTACTACTCTGTGCACTCTTGTTGTTGCGCATGGAGTGAAAACAGTCTCTCTGTCCGCTGGGAGACGCGATCACTGGTTTTCTCCAAGCACCGAATTTCTGAGCTCGGGAGCTCCGTCGGGACCAAGAAATTACGTCCGTAGCTTCTTGTTACGTCCGTAGCGATGCCAGGAGCCCCCTTCATAGCGTCCGATCGCTCCGGACTCGTAGCGATGCCCGACATGCTCCGTTCGTAGCTTCTTGTTTAATTCACATGTTCTATCTTAAGCCTCTCAGCCAATGATTCAAAAAGTCCGACACCTCCTGATGGCGATTCTGTGCTGCAAGCTCCGCAGGAGTGGTGCCGTCATGAGTTGTGGCGTCGCGGGCAGCGCCAAAGGCCACCAACAATCGGATGACTTTCAGGTGACCGCTAAAAGCAGCCGAGTGCAAAGAAGTCCAGCCACTGACTGTTGCATGATCACATGTCGCTCCAGCCTGCAACAACAAGTGCACCACTTCCAGGTGACCATTCTGAGCCGCATGATGCA